CGCCCGCGGCGACAAAACGACGCGAAGATCGGGGCAAAATCGGATCGGGATAACTCGAAATCTCTGAGAATCGGCGGGTTTGGAGGATGTATTGGGCGCCGCGGCCGCTCCAGAGCGTTCCGGAATGCTCTGAGAGCGCTCCGGAACGCTCTGGAGCGATTTATCCCGATCCTAGCCCTGTTTTAGGCGTCCCGCGCGTCCCCGGCGGGCCATCTCTCGGACGTCCATGCCCTGTGCTTTTTTTAAAAGTCGGGCCTGTCCACCTACAGGGTGGAGCTTCGGCGAAGAATAAAAAATACCCCAAAAATGCCCCAAGAGAGGCCCGCAAAGTACTCAAAAGATAGTCCCCTGTCTGTTTTAGGACTATGTTTGGACTATTTGTGGAGTACGTTTCATTTTGCGTCGAAAGTCCCCTTATAGGGGGACAGGCCCGACTTTGTGCTTTTTGTTGGTTTCGTGCGCGGGCCCTTCGCCAAAGGATCGAGGATGCTCCTCGATGGTCCTCGCGGAAGGGGAACTGGCCCGCGTCAGAGCGATGGCGAGGCCAAGCCAGCTGCCCGCGCCGCTCCGCCCAGGACTGAAGGGGCCCCGGGACACGCAAAGAAATACACACAAGTGACCGGATTCCCCATATCTTCCCATGTTGTCTTGGTCTTTGTCTCCCCCCCCACTTCCCAAACCTGCCCATATGTTCCTGGGAATCGGCGATCACTTGTTACTCTGTACTCCAGATTTCGTAATAAAAGGGAGGGGGTCTGGACTCTCCAAGACAAGCCATTTGAGACCTCCCCCGTGGGAGAATCCTCCAAAACATCGTCCCCAGACCCCCCCAGGCCCTCCAAGAGACCCCCCCCGAAATGAGACCCCCCTCCCTTTACTACGAAATCTGGAGTATGAATTTTCCCTCCTGAAGGACTCTCTCCTGGTGGCCCTGGGGCCCCGGCAGCGGGGCGCCGCGCCGAGCAGCAGCGCCCAGAGGGAGGCGACAAAACAGCTCTCTCTCTAGAGGGGCCCGGGGGCGCACGGAGGAGCAGACACAGATCCCGGGATTCCCCTATGCTTTCCCACATCCTCTGGGCCTTTTCGTGGTCCCCCCCCCCTGTTCCCCACGTTTCCCCACGTGTTTCCCTGGGGATCGACGAGGAATGGTGTCTTTGTGCTCTTTCCCCCTCCTGACTATCATTGGAGATCCGGGGACGACGGCGACGACTGGCGGCCGCAGAGCCGCCCCCGCCGCCTGGCGCAGCCGATCGACGGCGCCGCCGCTGGCTGCGACGGCCCGGCGACGGCGATGGCAGACGGCGTAGCTGACGGTCAGTTGGAGGCAGCCAGCCCTCAGTTGGAGGCAATTTACGGTCAGCTGGAGACAACTTACGGCCAGCTGGAGGCAACTGAGGGCCAGCTGGAGGCAACTGAGGGCCAGCTGGAGGCAACAGAGGGCCAGCTGGAGGCAACGGACCCTCAGTTGGGGGCAACTGAGGGTCAGTTGGAGGTAATCGAGGGTCAGTCGGAGGCAACTGAAGCTGACGGTGGCGAGCGAGGGGGGGAAGCGAGAAGGAGAAGGCCCTCTCAGAAGGCGGCGGGACTGTTCAGAAGCCCTCGCGCCTTCTGAGACGTTTTTTTGTTTTCGAGGAAGGCTTAGAAAACTTCTCAGAAGGATGGGGGGCTTCCGAACCTTCTGAGAAGGCCTTATCCTTCTCATTTCCCCCCCTCGCTCGCCGCCGACTCCCAGATGGGGTCCGAGTGGATGGGGTCGAAGGATCGCGCCGCATCGCCAGTGCATCGCCGACGTATCGGCGATGCATCGGCGATACCTCGGCGACGTCGGCGATGCATCTGCGACGTCGACGTGGAAAAAATCTGGCTCCACATCGAGCCGCATCACCAATGCATCGCCGATGCGGCGGTATTCACCGACCCCATCTAGGAGGCCTGGACACCCCCTGAACCTCTCCCAGGGTGAGTTCTGACCAGAATTGCCAAGGGAATCCAGCAGTGCCGACGAGAGCTCTTCAGGACGAGCAGCGGCATCGGTGTTTGCCTCGTCCTCCCCTGAGCTCGGGGGCGGCCAAGAGGGGGGCGTCCAAGAGGGGAGGGGGGGGGGCGCAAATCATGGCCGGCGGCATGTGCGCGGCCCAGGGGGGGGTGGGGGCCGGAGACGGAATGAAATAAGAAGCGGCACCAGGAAATCTGAGGCAATATCATGGCCCCCGCCATGAGATCCACCCCCCCCTAGTCATCACCCCTCTTGACCGCCCCCGACCTGAGCGGCGGTCGCAGCTCGGCGGCGGCCAGCGGCGATCGGCGGGCGGCCGGCGGCGCCGCCGCAGGCCGCGACCACCGAAGACGGCCGGCGACCGGCGAAAGGCGACGGCTGGCGACCGGTGGCGGCGACGGCGACGACTTCCGCCGATCGGCAGGCGGCTCGGCCGACCCCGGTCAATCCACACTTATCGGCACGCCCGAAATGGGTACGGAAAGAATGGGTACAATGCCCAACAGCAGTTCCTGTTCATTTTGAACAGGACTCGCTGTCCGCGCCACCGCGGCCTGCGCCCATTTGAGACAGAAGGCCACCTGCCCAACAGCGGCCGCTGTGGGTTTGGGACAACATTTGTTGTTGGGCATTGTACCCATTTTTTTTTCGTACCCATTTCGGGCGTCCAAAACTTTGGTCGGGCATGTCCCCCCACAGGCGAATTTTTGACGAAAGATTAAAGATAGCCCAAAAATATCAAAACATGGTCAAAAAATAATCGAAACATCGTGCCCAGCCTAGCTTTTCACTGTTTGGGGATATCTCTCCTGCAGAGGGGCAGGCCCGACTCGAACCCAGACCTGGGGTCAGCCAGGCCTGGCAGAATCCTGCAAGCTCCTGCGCCCAAACCCTGGCCAATGCGAAGGATCCTGCAAGATCCTGCAGGATCCTGCGCCCAAGCCTGGGTCCGTGCGCCCCTGCCCCCTGCCGGATCCTGCAAGCTCGGGCGCCCTCGCTCCCGACGCGAAGCGGGAGCCTCGGAGCCGGGGCTGACCTCTCGGCCTCCTCGGCGGCGGCGGCGACCACGGCCCTCGGGGGCTTCCTGACGGCCAGGCGGTCCACGAGCTGGCGCTCCTCGGGGATCGGACTGGGGGGCGGCGGCCCCTCCGTGGCCCAACAAGCCGCCTCCACCCTCGACCATAGAGGCATCCACCCTGACCCCCTCGCGACGTGCAGAAACGAGACGGACGGTGTTTCGCCACTTTCGGCCTCCAGGGGGCCCCCACCAGACCTCGGGACCGTCAAAGAGAAGGACTCGGGCGAGGAAAAGCCCGTGCCCCGGGACGAGGGTCCAGACCTCATTGGGGGCCACGAGTCTGGGTGTACGCATGCGCCGGCCCAGGACCCAGGACCGGCGCATGCAGTGCAAGCCTTCCTCGCGTGGCCGGGAAAGCAGATGCACCGATCAAGCCACAAATATGAAGGGGCCCCAGGACACACAAATAAATACACACCAATAAAAATATTCACCATATTTTCGCATATCTTCTGGGTTTTCGTCTTCCCCCCCACTTCCCATATTTTCCAATACTTTCCTGGGGATCGACGATTAATTGTGTCTGTGTGTGTTTTTCCACTCCTGAAAATAGCCCGCCCTGATCAAACTGGCTCCCATGCAAGGGCTCCCAGCTTCGCGCTTCGCGCTGCGCGAAGCGCGAAGTGCGAGCAACTTCGCGCTCTCGCGCCGCCTCCCAGGGGAGAAGAGGAGGATGAGGAATCGGAGCCGAACCGCGAAGCGCGAAGCGCGAATAACTTCGCGCCCTCGAGGGCGCCCTAGCCCATGCGGCCCCGAAGGGGATCTCATGGCGGGGGCCGCCGCCCGGGGAGGCCTCCCGCCGCGCTCCTGCTCCGCGTCCATGTGCGGCCGCAGCGTGGCCGGCCAGCTCTCCGCGTCCTCGGGCGGGAGCGCGGGCCTCGGCCGCGGGCGGGGCGGAGCGGGGGGGGGGGGGGGGGGGGGGAGGGGGGGGGGGGGGGAGGGAGGGAGGTGGGGGGGGGGGGAGGGAGGGAGGGATGGGAGGGAGGTAGGAAGGGAGGAAGGGAGGGCGGGCGGAGCGGGAGGGGGGGGGGTGGAGGGGGAGGGTAGGGGGGAGGGAGGGAGTGGGGGAGGCGAGTGCGGGGAAGGGGGAGGGTGGGAGGGAGGAGGAAGGGAGGAGGGAGGGAGGGAGGAGGAGGAAGGAGGACGGGGGAGGGAGGGAGGGAGGGGGGGAGGGAGGGAGGGAGGAGGGGAGGAATGGAGCCGGGGGAGGAAAAGAGAGAGGGAGGGAGGGGAGGAGGGGGAAGAAGGGAGGGATGGAGGGAGGGAGGGAGGGAAGAGGAGGCTCCATTTTTCCCCACATGCTTGGTGGGGTTCTGGTTTTCTTTTCTGCCGCGCTGCGCCCGCGACTCACACGCCCGCGACTCACACCTCCTCCTCCTCCCCCTCCTATTCTTCCTTCCTCCCTCACCCACAACACAGCACAGAACAGCGCATCAAAGCATACACATACACACATACACACATACACACATACACACATACAGACAAACACACATTCACACACACAGCATACGGCACAGCACAGCACAGCACAGCACAGCACACACATACACATACACACATACACACATACACACAAACACACAAGCACACACAGCACACCGCACACACAGCATAGCACCGCACAGCACAGCTCAGCACAGCTCAGCACAACACACCGCAGCACAGGCCTCGCAAAGCGTGGCAGGCGTGGCACTTCCTCGACACCACAGGGGGTGCGCTGGGGGTGGTCTCCCTATCCGCAGCGGCCTCGCACAGCGTGGCAGGCGTGGCACTTCCTCGACACCACAAGGGGGTGCGCTGGGGGTGGTCTCCCTATCCGTTGCGGCCTCGCAAAGCGTGGCAGGCGTGGCACTTCCTCGACACCACAGGGGGTGCGCTGGGGGCGGTTTCCCTATCCGTTGCGGCCTCGCAAAGCGTGGCAGG